AGCAGTCATGTTTACTTGTTTTAAACTAAACTAACATTATTTTAATAATTTATAATAAAGAAAATGTTAAGTAAACTTAAAAGTATTGTTTTTCCTTTAGTCTGTCCTGCTGCTTTCAAAAAAATATAATTTTTTTCCTTTATCGAATCCTCATTATAGGGGGCGTAGGTGTTTGTCGATTTTTGATACACCAAACAACTCAAATCCGATAACTGTAGAGAGTACTGTAAATACCGTAATCTCGCGATAATTACATAATCTCGCGATAATTACATAAATAAGATCCACCGACGAGATTTTCCACAATTGTGTCAGTATTTTCCACTTGAAATGTCACGAAAAATCGGAATAGTCGGCAGGTTGGTGAGATTCTTTATTATCAGAATTAAAAACTTTACTTGAATCCTTTTAGTGGCCTCATTGGCCGCTCATGGGCCATGTTGTTCGCCAATGTGGGCTACCAGGTCGTCATTTACGACATTGAGCCCAAACAAATCAAGTCGGCTTTAGTCGACATTGAGCAACAATTGAAAAATTTGGAAAAAAACGGACTTTTACGCGGGAAATTGAACTCGAGTCAACAGTTTGCATGCATCAAAGGCACGACCAGCTTGGCCGAGGCCGTGAAAGACGCCGTTTTGGTCCAAGAATGCGTCCCTGAAAACCTAGAATTGAAAAGAAAAGTCTGGAAAAGCGTGGATGACGTCGCAGGTCCCAACACAATTTTCTCAAGTTCAACGTCGACTTTTCTCCCGTCATTATTTTCCGATCACCTCAAAAACAAGTAAATTCAAATTACAGGTTTCTGTAATTTTATATGTGATTTGTAGGAAAAACATAGTGGTTTCGCACCCAGTAAATCCCCCTTATTATGTGCCCCTTGTAGAGATTGTGCCAGCCCCATGGACTGACCCGGCAGTTACTAAAAAAACTCGCGCTATTATGGAGGAAATCGGGCAAACTCCCGTTTCCCTCTCCAAGGAAGTCCCCGGTTTCGTGGTCAATCGACTCCAATACGCCCTTTTGAACGAAACTTGGAACCTCGTCTCCGATGGAGTCCTCGACGTCAAAGACATCGATAAAG